GCTGACAATTTTTACTAAAGTTGTTGTTTTCCGACTTTCTTTGGCTTTAAATCAACTCAAATTCTCACTTTACCACACACATATGTGTCACCTAATGTGCAAAAGAAAGTCTGGATTTTTCTCGCAAGTCAGGCTGCAAATCTATACAGACATATTTTCACAAGCTGTTTATGAACCGCTCAGATTTATGCATATTTTACGATAAACATTACACACAATGACTTTCAAATTGATTCTTTCATTCTAGAATTAGAGTTGCAAATGGAAGTAGAACCCCTTCATTGCATAAGCATTATGTTCACAGGTTTGGTCCTGAAAATTTCTCCAAGCACCAACTGTTCAACAGGAAAGTCTACAATCTGCATGGAACACACAGTTCCAGCACTTCCTGCTAACATCCTTCATCTGCATGCACAGGTTTCCCAGCATGACAAGTGGATTCCAAGAATTACAAAGAATTACACATGGATAGTGTAATTCCACTGAAGAAGTGCAATGTGTAATACGAGTTGCTAGGCCCCTTTTCTCCTCTTTTTCTCTGGAGCATTACTGTAATGTAGCAGCATTCAGCTGCACTTCCCTCCAGGGCTTTTCACCTTTTAATGGGTTGCTGCAGTTTGCTCTCTTGGGAAAATGTGAAATAGCTACGACATAAGAAGCTTAGTGCTTGGCCTCACAAACAAAACATGTTTTCTTTTTTTCCCCAAAGTCACACAACACTTTCAAAGTAACGTGTTTCTGCAGTGTTTTGTGTAGATGTTGTATACTGTTAGTCACACATTCAGCTCTCATACTGCAGCCTTGTTTGATAATTATAAACCTTTAATGTATCAGTAAGGCAATATGGCAATGTACCTGGACTATGTGCTTTTTGTTGGATTAGTCTTGATGCAATGATTTGATATGGCACTTAGTTGGGTTAGTTGGGTTAATTATTTATCAATTATTAATCAATTTTTCAACAATTTTTCTACCATGTTTGTATCTTTTCCTGCATTTTGGCAACCTACATTTTTCTTAAATACAATACAGCCAATAGTTGAATTAGTTTATAATAGCCTGGTTTGAAAATACTATTTTACTGTTTCATGTAAAAATTCTGAAAAACGTTTGACTAGGTGAACTTTGTAACCTGGACAACAAACTTCTGGCACTTTTCTGAAATATTGGACTCTTCAGCATCCAAAGAATGTTTTTTTTTTCTTGTAAAGTAAAAAAAAAAAAGTACTGGTTTCCCTGCAATCTGCCTCCTCCTCTTCTGTCACACCTCCTTTCTTTCGTCTCGGCTTCTGAACACACAGACATCAACATAATCTTGTCTGCTCATTTCACCGCAAAGAAATGTGTCTTTCTGAATTTATCGCAATCTCCACATGTCTCTTTTATTGTTCAGTTGTCAGCGTTACCCCTCCTCCCTCTTTCTTTAGCCTGCCTACACACATACAGGACAACGCAAGTCATTCTAACTACTTTGACATCAGAATAAGAGGTGACAGATGAAAAAACTGTAAAGAATGAGACAAACTATGTCAGAAAAGCAAGGGAGGGACAGGCCATAACTATTTGGGAACATTAAAGAAAGTATTACAAAATGGTACCAGGTTGGCAGAAACGACAACGAACATAAACAAACTGCAACTCATGCATTTCTATTGCTATGCAAAGAGTAAATATTGTTGCATAAATTGGTTTAGATTCTCTTTCTCCAGCTAATTATTTTCCCTGTATTTTTACTTATTTATAATTGACTACATTTCTCTTAGTTATTCCCTTTTTAACACAAACTAACTCACATCAGTTCAGGGTAGCAACATATATACAACAGACAGAGAGCTTAAGATAAATTATGGGTAAATTTTACAAGAAAAGACCGTAAATAATAAAAGTGCCACCACTCTGAGATTCCAATAAAGGACGCATTTCTGTGCTGCTGTGCAAGTATCTGTGTGTTTCACTTAAACCTTCCACTCAACGTAGTTATTGCCGATATCTACTTACTGAGAACTGAGCATACTATAGAGGATCTGCAGGTTGGTTCAGGAACCAATGTCTGCTGCCTGACTCTGAGGGCAGATAAGTGAAAGCATCCCTACATGTGTTAACACTATACAGAGACCCCTTGAGCCCCCAACACAGCTCTGACTTGTTGAAACAGTCAGGGACACCAGATAATAGTTAGTGTATTACCGAAGTCATGAACAGTTACAGGTCATGTACCTGTGGGTAAAATTTGATTTTTGTGAAGATTCTTGATTGAAAACTAAGTTTAGTTGGAGGTTAAAACAACTATTGATGAACTTTACACCTGATCAATGCTTGATTTCAGACCTTGGAGGAGGTCAATGCCATAAGTGAACACCTGTATCAAGAAGAGAAGGTACATGGACTGTAATATGGTTTAACATGGCTATATGTGTTGTTAATTTCTGAGAGTTGGTCTCTGGTGGTTAACATCTCTCTCTCTCATTAACACCACACAAACATGAATAATGTATCCAGGCTAACACTCTCTATTGCTTCATACTTAAACTGTTGGCTCACATATTCACATATTATTAGACACCAAAAAGCCCAGTGAGCACTTTCAAAGTTATTATTTGCACTTTAGATATTGCTAGAACCTCTGTTAAATTAAACAAGATGCAACAACATATAACTGGAAATTTTAGACAATCCCTCAAGCTGTGTGAAGCTTCAATTGCTCTGATGAGCTATGATTATAAGTAAAGGTTAAGGGGGAAAAATGATGTGCTTTAGACAGAAATGCCATTTAAGCATTTGTGAATTATTATAATAAAAATGAAAAATATTCAAAAATCAAAACATTTAACAGAATAACAGCTAGAGAAAAATGGTTATTTTTGATGACTTATAGTTTCCTGCTTCCCCACAACTTCACTTACATTTCATAGTTCAAATACAGGTCGGGCTTTGACTTTATGACCACTTCAAATTTAAGGTGAACTATGCGACTGCAACGTTTATGGTTACAATTTTATTACAGTGTCACCAAACAAATATGTGTAAAACTATCCAACTTCATGCTACAGCAGGCCTGGTTGGCATAGTGTTCAAACATAATCTGGATAAATGTTTTTCACACACTTCCACATTTCACAGCCCACATATCAGCCATGTTGTCATGGCTATAACCTACTTTAAAAAAGCTTTTTATTGTGTTTATACTATCCCATTATGAGACAACCTTCTCAGTGAAACAAAATTTGTTTTTACCCGCATTTTTGTTTTATGTATCTGCCTAAAAACACACTAATGCACCACATTACTAAAGCATTCAGTCCTCCTCATTCAGTTCCTTCAGGTTGTTTTTATATTAATGTTCTTATATTAATCCACATGGTATTTATACGTATATCATGAAATGCTCTTGATGCAGGATTTACAGTACCATTAACGGGACATTAAAATGAGCTGTGTAAAACTGGAAATAGCAAATATGTCAAATGGGCCCTGACAATAAAATTCCTGTCTTTCATCTCTTCAACTCTGGCAGGAAGGAGAGACAAAAGTCTGTTAATCTTGAATAAAAGCACAGTGTGACAGAACTGGCAGGACATAAGGAGGATGAGTGATGAAACCAGCCCACCGAATAGATAAAGGGAGGAACAGTGACAAATTTAGATTTCCTGAAGCCATCAATCACAGAAATGCTCCTTTATCCATTTAGCTGCAGATTTATTTCTACTCAAATCATTAAAGTAAAAATTTATGTAAAAGAAGGAAAGGAAGAAGACTTAGTGGTAAAGTCACTGAATCTGAATTGCAGAAGGTATAAAATTACTGTTCTGTCTACAGTCTGAGGCAGAAAAGCTGACTTTCGACATAAATTTACTCCACAAGATGATAAAAATGAAAATAATGAACATCATGTGTAAATATTAATAATTTCATATTTATAGAATATTACTTTCCCTATTGTTCTATAAATTATAAGAAAGGGAGCTAAGATTTACAACAAGAAAACACAAATCTTGCATAAAACGATAAGTTCATAATCTGTAATCCATCTTGCTTTGGGCCAGATGTTTAGTTATGAAAGAATGAGGAGCACGGGTTGGTTTTTAGTCCCCATATTTCCTCTTTTCATTAGATTACTTTCCACAGATGTGACTTTAAAACATCTTCTATATGAGCTACAAGTTTTACTTAAAAATAAGAATTAATCTTGAAAATTCTTTGCAAACATTATAGATTTTCTGTTTTTTGAATACTCAGTAGATATTGGTTGACATTACATCACAGTGCATGACAATATAATATTGTACTGTTAATACAATATTATATTTGCTGAGCAGAAGATGTCAAATGAGCTTTAGAAAAATTATTCAGTTTTGATTCCTTGAGTAAAATACTAATAATAAAGTACTTTTTTTATTATTATTATTATTTCTTTGATCACTTCACTGCGTCTGTTGGGTTTGTGTCTAAAGAGAAGGAAACGACAAACTGATGGAAACGTATGCGCAAATTTATTTTGTCTGTTGGATTTCATTAGTGCAATTTTCTTTTTGACTGCAGTAAGAGACGTGTGCAGACAAAGAGTTGTGAATAATTAATGAGATATCACTACTCCATTAATTCACCCTTATTTTTTTACTGACACAAAAACAATGTTAAACTGAAAACAACATAAATTATACTTTGTTATGTTGTTGCTAATTCTGTAACATCTTCAAAATGAATTTAAAAAAAAATGTAAAACTAAAGTTTCCATTTATCTCTTCACTCTAGTTTCTGCACACATTTGATGCAGTTCAGGATCTGAATCTTATCCCTGCAGTCACTACTCCAGAGACAGGTCATTCTGCTTGATGTAACTGAGATAACCACCTGAGACATCTGATCGATGAACTGAAAATAAACGTTGTTTAATTTTTCTAAATATTTGTTGAAATCGCATTTAGTCATTTAATAGCTTTTTTTGTACATGTCTGATGTACATGAGACCCATTAGATGCTGTATATAGTTTGCTGCTTACCACATAGAGTTGCTTCCATAGTAAAGCCCATTCCTGAAGAGTTAATGTCACCTCAGTGACAATTGGATCTTCCAGAGGCACCACAGTCTCATGAGGTCTGTTCCAAAAAAGAAACACACATTTCATTAACAGCCAATTATTTCAATGGTAAACAAATACAATATGGATCTTTTGATAGGTTGCTTTATTTTGATGTATATAAAACAATAGAAAAATAAACATATGACACACATACTATCCTCAGACATACTGTGGCTATATATATTCACAAATCAATATGCATACAGTTCAGGAAAAAAGTGATACAATTCATATTTCTATATTGCATACTGTACTTCGGAACATCTTGATTTATTGTATCATAAATTATTTTCACCTTAATTTAACTTAAAAGTTGAGGAACCAAAAGAGCACAAAAATGTGATTATATATTTTGCACTTAGACTATCCAGATGGTAACAAAGGATGATTATTGTTATCATTCAGGGTTTAACTAAAATATTAGCAGTGGAATTGTAGGATGAAGATGGTGTAATGCAAATGAGCCATGATAACTACTCCAAAAAATGTAGAAGTCAAGGACAATTTACCAAAGAGGAGACAGGACAGAGTTCACAGAAATAAGCTTGAAAGGGGAAGATTCACAGAGTTATGAACAGGTCTCATCAAATAATAGTATACTAAACAAAACGGTAAATCAAAATAAACTGAAAAACAAATTTTGTAAGTTTATTGTACAGTTTACAGCACAAATTTTAAACTAACTATAGTGTATATTAATTTGTTTCTAGTGATTCAGGTGGACAGGTGGATGAAAAAAAATGTTTCAACCATATAAAAATCTGTTTTTGTGACAGAAACATTGGACAAAAAAACCAGAGAGATGCCTTGTTCAACAGGTGACTGTCCAAGGTTTTTGTGGAATTTTTGTGTTTTACCCATTTATGGTTATCAAACTGTTATCTTAGTTGATTTTTGTATTTGTTTGTTTGTGACTGACTGAGTGCAACAAAGTGCCCAGAGATCATCGGGTATTTTTTGTGAAGTTGACTTTTATCAGTTGAAAAACAGGTTCAATTAAATTTGGGAGTCTTTTTCTGACTGGATGACCCAAAGTTTAGTGCCTTAATAAAAAGTGTCTTAATAAAAATAAGAAAAATATATTGATCTACTGCACTTAAAAGGTCTGGGTGGAAGACCTTCAGAAAGCTTGAAAAAATATTGACATGAAATACTCTGATGTGGAATATTTTTTTCTAAATAACCTTTAAGGAACTTAAACAGTAAAAGCTTAAAATAAATAATCAGGGAAAGAAAAAAATCTTGCTTCACCTCTACATATAACAAAATGATTCACATTTTATATTTTATTGTATGGTTCTATTTTTCCTTTCTTCTTTGAAAAGGATGTTTGCCCAGAGGGTGAGATTGTTGGTTAAAACTGGAAGCTGACTCACAGTTTCAGGCTGGAAGTCAGAAATAATAACGTTCTCTACTATTTATTTACCCTGCCATGGATGCCATGTTTTTTTCTCTTGCAACCTCATTGTTTTTCACCATGCATTCCCATTTCTCAGCCAGCTCACTCTTCTTCTGTTTCATAACTGATAAATTAATAGGAGCAATGTACCAGATTTGTTGATCTCCCAGCAGAACAGCAGATACTGCCTGCTGAGTTCACCCACATCAATTGTGTTTCAGTGTTTTTTCTCTTCTGTTCCTTATATTTTTCCTTCATTTCCCTTTTTCCTCGTTCACGTCATGTTGCTCTTGTTTAAGTTTCTTTAGTTTTAACTTCACCTTTTTACCCTAATATCTTGCCACAATTTCTATTGTATTGATGAAACTGTAAGATGAAACTGGTGCAGATCAACACTTTTATCTCTGAAGCATCTCTTTAAACACCTTCAGTGTTGTACAGAATTTGGAGAAGTAAGTTATCGTCATTTGGTTTATTCATTTTAAACAAGTCCAGTTATTGTTGAAGATAGTTTTCTTTTATTTGTTTTTTAAGCATTCACTCTGAAGTCACACCCAACTCTTCTGAATTGTAAAATTTAACAAGAAAAATAGCATCTTGTAAATAAATCATTGTAAAAACAATACACCACTTTTTTGTGGCTGAATTAGGTCTGATAATGATGGATCCCCCACATGCTGCAGCCTAGCCACCTCTAAACAGATCATAATAACGCTGTTAGCCCCATTTTTGTTAGGTCAAGTTTTAAATGCTCACTCTTATCCAATAATTACATTAGATTTTATTTTTACGTTTTGCATTTGACTTCTTGATTCTCTAGTTTATTCTCTTTTTTTCTGAAAATGCGCATTCATATTCCCTCTGATCAAGCATCGCTGCACATCTCACTTCTGATCCACAATTTCCATCTTCCGTTAGTGTCAAGCCGTCTTTGTCCCAGTTGGCTCTTCTTACATGTTGCCCCTCTGTTGTCTCCAATCCAAATATTTAGCAATCTCATATTTACTTTCTGTCTCTCTTCTTCAACCTCTTTAGAGATTACAAGTGTTGTTGGCTATGTTTCTTTATTATTTGCCTCAAAATGTTTAAAATATGCAGCTGCTCTTCCGACCTTAAAGGCATTTGACCGTTAACAACCCCCATGTGTTCCATCACTTATCCAGGCATTGATCAATGTTTTACTTTTATAAACACTAAATGCATCTCATAATGACTTTGTTTTATTTATACATTCCAAGATGATATTCATGATTTATAAACTTAACTGCACAGTGGTGTGGTAGGTAGCACTGTTGTGTTGCAATAAGAAGGTTCCGGGTTTGAATCCCAGCCTCAAGTCTTTTATGTTCTCACTGACTTCCTCCCACAGTGTAAAAACATTGCTATAAGGAAACTGATTTTAGGGTGTGAGTATGTGTGTGTTGTTTGTCCTGTATGATGGACTGGAGAGCTGACAAGAGTGTACCCCACCTCTCATCCAGTGACAACCATATTTAGTTATCAGCCCCTCTGCAAAGATTACTAGGCAAATTTATGGATGAATACATCATCACGGTGCTATTGGGAGAATTAAATCACAGACAAATATAATTGATCCACATTGAACTCAAATTTAGACTCATTCATCTTGCTTTCTGGTCCATATAGAGCATGAGCCAAAACAATCTGGATATATAAATTTGATTTCCACTGTAAATAACTGTAAGCCTTTCACATGCAACAACTCACATTTTCCTGCTGCTGTGGTCAAGCACACTCTGAATCCCACCTCCAGCTATGACAGCAGAAGTGAAACCTCCTTCTGTCCAAATACTGTTCTCTGGATTCAAAATGTCCTCCAGGCCATTTTTAAGAACAGCTTCTATTTTATTACACAGATTGTCTCCAATAAAAACTAGTGTAACATTTATCCACTGGCCTTCACCTGACCCTTCAAACTAAAACTTCCTCCCCATATGGCCATTTACACAACATTACTCATGAGAATGGTCGGAGCAAGATTCAACTTAGATAACATCTGCTCTATATGATTTTATAAGATTTTTTACTTTTTATGTTAACATAAAAAATGGTTAGCATAGGAGTATTTTAATAGTGTCCATATACCAATGTAGCACTTATGTAATTCAACATAAGTTGGGAGAAAACATGCGGCAAATCGAAACTGCGACCACCGCCACAGGGACTAAGTCCTCAATACGTGGGTCGTGCTTGGCCTCTGCGAAACCGCAGCATCCAATTTTATTTCTTTTAACTATTGTAGAATTAAATCAATAACAACTGAATAAAAGCTTTTAGTACTACACTAATCTTCCAACCTATCAACCTAGCTTCAAAAATCCGACAGCAAATTTTATAAAACATTTGGAGTCACAGCACAGTCAAACTGACAGAGCAAGTCCAACAGGTGGTGTGAAGCAGAGAGCTGTGACTGAAACACAGGAGGTCTCCCTCCACCCAAACAGTGGGGAGCGTTGAAAAAGTTGGTCGGATGCTGCACTTTAACACGGTTGGCTCACCTTGGGTATCATTTTTATGTTTTATGGCTGTTGTCTGCTGCCTCAGACTGATTTCTGATTTCCAGGAGTAATCAGTAATCAATTTATATTTTCAAGGGATCTATGGCATTACTGATGTTCACATTGGAGGTATATTGCACTACTTAAGAGACATTATGCTTTTTTAAAACAATCTTACAACCTCTGTAAAAAGATCCTCATAATGAAACCTGCCTCTAAAGTGATTATAACGTAGAACAATTTAAGTGGTTGTTGAATATCCATTTCTCATACACCTCAGTTGTCTTCATTTTCATACGCTGGAAGGTCTTTTTTATTATTTCTCATTATTCCCCTCACTGCCATCACTGAATGTTACCTTCTCCCAGATAAAGTGTGAAAGCAGCATCAGATTGAATGTGGCTGTTGTCTGATCAGTTTTCCTCCTCGAGGTGAATTCAGAGGACATGAAAGTCCTCAGAGACGACCGTGAGGAAATCATTTTCATATAATGGAACTATAGAGACCAAATCAAGATTACTCAGTGTAAATAAAAAAAAAAAAAACAAAAGAAACACCACAGGGACAGCCAATTATGAAGTACTTTTCAGTACAAATGCTCATATTTGGTGGATGGGATACATTCCCAGCTTCTAAAATTTAGAAAGTACTTTGTAACTCTCAGTATTCTTCAGCACTTATTTACTCTGGAGGTTAGCTTGAAAGAGGAAGCAAAGGATTCATTATTTCCACTTAATTTGCTATAAATGTCTTTAATTATGTAAAAAAAAAAAAAAACGATCTCATGTAAATTGGCATTGATTATACTACTGGCTAATATTTTTTTTTTCTCTTAAACAAGTTTTGCAGTCATTATGCAAATGTATTCAAACATGCCACGTTTACCATTAAAAAAGTTTTTTGTTCTATTCAGGAAAAGGGTCTTTAAGCAACTCATCCTAAGAAAAAAAAATACTGAATAACATTTTAAATGTCTCACAGAACAACATGTACACTGTAGACAGAAGTGAGTTAGTTCCGCATTTTTTTGCATAATCACATCAGTGCTGCTGTGAGTTAAAGACGTTATTATTCAGTTTGGTGCAAAAGTGTTTTGTACTTTGTTTGCTAAGATTAACCACTATGGAAAAGGAAACAGGGGGTGTCTGACTAAAACAACTAAAACAAAAGTATTTGACGCTAACAAGAAATTTAATGAGGTCGTTTCCTTCTGTGCTCTGACCTTACCATGGTGTAAGGCTGAATCATGTGGAGAGAAAAAGGACCGAAGACAGAGTAACATCCACATTTCATTAACAGACTGAATAATTAGGCCAACCTTTATCAGTGGTATTGTGGTAAAAATGTTCAGTGAGGGGGTTTCAAACAAGACATTTAAGGGCTAGATTTTTATTAAGCAATAGGTTTGAAAGCCAGCTTCTGATTTTCAGCAGTCTAATTATTATAGTCAGTTTAATTTAAAAATTTTTTATTGACAAGATCTATGCTTTCTATCTTCCTTATTTAGATCAAGTTTCTGATTAAACTACTTGTGAGTCACAGTCATTTATTTTTTTATATTAATAAAATGTTCAAAACTGAAATACATTCTAAAGATAATTTAATTTAAAATTATTTTTAAGAGTAATAAGACGTTGAGGAGACAAACAGAGAACAAAATGACCAACCAGATGGGTTAGTTTACAGTTACAAGATGATACCGACGTCAGGCTCAAAAATCGCAAAACAAATTCAGCAGTTTATAAACTTCATAAACATTTTTTGTTTCAGTTAAAAAGCAGCTTTATAATGAGGGATTTGGGGTAAAACTGATTCCTCCATCTATAACTTTGACAATGTCTGTTTGTTGACTAAACTAAGGCGTTCTCCGATGACCTTTGACTCTGAAAATCTTGAGATGTTTTCAGTTACTTCACAAAATTCCTCGGAAAGAGGACTAAATTCAGATTTAGGATTATTTTAGATATGATAATCTACTTTCAGTCGATTCATCACAGATGTTTCAGTAATTTCAGTCTTACTGTTAAAGATCCCATTATGTATTCTGGAATAAAATTCTCTAAATCTACAGTCATTAGCCAGTGAGCTTCCCGGGATCTGTATTAAGTTGCCTAGTACTTTTTTTTTTCTTCTTTTTTTACAAAGCACATTTGGTTCTGAATAGCAAATAAAAATATTCATAATAGATTTCTTCTGAAAAAAATTAACAAGCTTCACAGTGGTAGTTGATTTGCCCCACACTTAGAAAAAGAACAAATATTTATCAAAATCAGTCAAAAGAACACAAAGAGAACACAAATGCAACAACCTCAAGACGAGTTCCAGTCTCCCACATTTCTGAACTCACCCCCTGTTGGTAACAATGGCTTTCTTCAAGTGAATGTAGCTGGCAGGAAAAACTCCCTGTGAAACAGAAAAACACTGCATCAGTTGAAGAAGTTAGAGCTAAATTACAATCAGCTTTTTTGAAGAGCTGCATACAGTCATATTCAACATAACCGTCCCATTTACATATAGTAACCAGCACATTTTAATCAAGCCTAAGATGTTGTTTTATCTTATAATAATAGAACAGAGTTGCAGGAAATATATTTCCTGCAACTTGTTGGCTCAAGTGGCTTTTATTTGAAAGTAATAAAATAAAAACTGTGCTATTTAGCAGAGTTTTTTACACTAGATTTCTGGCAGTGCTTCAAGTTGTGCTGACAGAACAAGCTTAAAACATCCAGAGAAAAGACAACCTGCCATGTATATCACGACTATACAACGTGGAACATCTTAGAGTAGCACTGGTAAATTATTCACAAGAGACTCTAAAAGTTAAAATAGAAGCTTCAAACTTACAGACAGTGTGTTTAGTTTTTTTTAAAATACCAGCAGTGCTTTCTGTAAACATGATTTTCCTAAATCTTGATCTCTCACATAAAAGGGCAGTTTTTGTTTATGATGTTTGTTTTATGTAAATGTGTGCGCTTGTAAGCAAAGTAATACACAAATTCAGTAATATTTCACTGCACTGGTTTACAATTTCCTTTAAACAAAAAATGTTCAACTAACTTATTTCAAAACTTAAAAATAAAGCAAAGAACAATTTTCCACTGTCTTTTGTTACAACCCAAAAGTCGAACATGGCAAAATTAAGCAAAAAAATAGATTCATGCATTTTTTAAAGTGTTTGAAGTAGAGCTGCAGGGCTTTTTATGGTCCCTTAAATTTATTAAAAGTTTTTCATAAATGTTTTAGACAGTTTTCTGTAAAATTTTGAGAAAATCCATGATGATATGGACAGAAAAAGCTAGACGAGGAGTGATAAAAGTGACCCAGATTACAATGTGTCTATAGCAGATTCAGACAGTATCATATCAAGTTTCTGGAAATGCCATTTTAATAAAAATATCCTTATTTCAAGATGCTACACCTATTCAAAATATTTTTTAAAAAAATCTGAAATTAGCATACACGTTAAACAGATAAAAAACTCAAACCAGGTATTGGGAGGTTGTTCTCTGATTTGCTCAAATGAAGTCAGTCTGAGAGGAAACCCCCAGCATCCCATATTAGTGGCACTGGAATAGAAACCATTCCCTTATAATTCTGGGCTGTTGTTTTGTTTTTGTTTTTGTTTTTTTGTTTTTGTTTTTTCATGAAAAACTATATCTAAACCAATAATGTAATCACCTCCGTTCATGGGTTAAACCCAGAAAAAGATAATGTTACATTAAACAGTGTGTTAGTCAAATAGTTTCAAGTATGATGCTGTCTGATAACCTTCTTTTAAAAAGGGTGCACTGTAATTTAACTAATTAGAAATTTTGTATTATAAAAGCGTATGACTGAGTACCACTTTCATAAAGGATGATTGTGACTGCAGGGGGAAAACTGACATCTTATTGGGGAAGGCTTCAGATTTCACGTTTCACTCTGAAAGACACATTGTTTTATACCATAAACATGAGAGAGTTTCTTTTTAAGCAGTTTGGAGGGACAGCCACACATTGTCATCAAGCATTACAACACTGAATATTTCAGCAACATCTCTTCTCTTATAAACAATGTAATTTTTTGCTTGTTTAATGTTTTGTGTAAAATTAATTCTACCTGTCTTTTGACTTTTTATTCATACAATAAAAACACAAGTGCCCAACTCTGTTGATGACACAAACATGTTCAGCTTTTCTTTGAAAACTGTAACAGCAAAACTAAACTTATCCTAAACACACAAATAGGAGAATGAATGTGTGTCTTCAAGACTTTTAACTAAAAACTGTTGGGAGCTGAAGGCGTTCTGAATGCAGTGACCTGTAAACTACCACCTACTGTCACAGCTAACTAGGCAGAGACAAGAACAAGATGTCATGTATGTATGTGTGCATGAGAGGTCGTGTTGTGCTATTCTTAATTTAGCTGATGGTGTCAAAACACCAAGCCAGTCAGAAAAGGTCAACCTGATACAGGCAGAAAATGAAAAGAGAAAAATACAAGAGAGGGTAAAAAAGAACCACAATAAAGTATATATATATATATATATATATATAATATATATATATAATATATATATATATATATATATATATATATATATATATATATATATATACATATATATATATATATATATATATATATATAATATATATATATATATATTATATATATATATATATATATATATATATATATATATATATATATATATATAATTATATATATATATATATATGTATATATATATATATATATATATATATATATATATATATATATATATATATATATATATATATATATATATATATATATTAATATAATATATATACATATATATATATATATATAGAGAGAGAGAGAGAGAGAGAGAGAGAGAGAGAGAGAGAGCGAGAGAGAGAAGAATAGCAGAAGTAAAAGAGAAACTTAGAAAATAAATGACAAATCAGGCTGCAGTGAAAATGTCATCCTCCCACAAATAAGCCTGTCTCCCTGTGGACTCTTAGCCGCAAATACGTTATTGTCGCCTTGTGTTGACCTGTTTTAAGTGCCTTTTAGAGGCCCAGCATTATCTTGAGCCTGAAATATGCCACATATCATATAATAAATGTCTTACAAAAAGAAAGAAAAGAAACACAAATTTAGAGACAAAGAGTAACACATTTTAAAACACTTAATAGCTGATTTCATATTCAATTGACAGAAAAATTATTACTTTTGTTTTTGCTGTCAGTCAGATATTAAATCGTATAGAAATTTTACATTTGAATATTCCACCTACCATCAGTGTAAACGGAGGCATGACGTTATTTATGAGGCGCTTTAGGAAGGAAACAGACTGTTCAGTCTTTGTATGTTGATTGTTATTGATGCTGCTATTGCTTGAACAAACTTCATAGTTTTTAAAACATCATTGCATTTTTCATTATTACACCATTTCAAAAACATTTAAATACTGTAATGATTACATTACTGTACAGTAAAGTTCCATTGCTGCTAAGACCCATGAGCTGCAAGCTGTCTTGCAATATGAAATCAGAGATTCTAATTTAATTTTATCATATATTTTTGAATGAGCAGAGATGTTCATCCTGCAGTGTTCCCAGGAAGCAGGCAAGGATGCTTTTAAAAATATGCAGAAAGAGCTTTTTTCATACTGAACACGACATGTTCATATCGAGACTGAAAATAAAAATAACTGTTACCTTATATTTGTGGCCACATGTCAACATTATTAAATCTCTTCAGTCTGCAAAATTTTACTCACTGTAAAAACATATTATTTGCTGTCTTCACTCAGTTTTTCCTACAATCGTTATTATCACCTTTTATTTGATTAAACAGATCTGCTCCCCTCCTTAATGGTTCAGCACAGTAATTGCCCTCTGTTGTTTCATTGCCATCACACCTGTCGATATGTTTGAGATAATCTGCATTTCATTGTACTACATTCACCTCTAAATCAAACTGAAAGCAACCACAGATGTGCTTCACACCCTTACTTTTGCCTTCCTGATTTGTCCCTCTCTTGTCCCAGAGGAGGCAATCTTCACTAACCGTAACGCATCCCTTCATTCTCTTCCATTGTGAGCTCTTCTGCTTTTTCCAACTCTGCTCATTGTTTCAAGTGAGAATGGTGTAGCTTTCCTCTACAGCTTCATGGAGCATCAGAATAAAATCTGGGATAGCATGGCACTTTTGGATGACAAATAACTTTGATATTACATCCAAACCACCAGTCCTAAGTTTTAGCTGAAACAAAACTAATTGGAAACACATAGAGCTTTGTAAGCCCCAGTTAACCCAGGGTCGGGTGGAACAAGAGTGTCCAGAAACTAAAGGGAACACTCAAACAACACAATATAACTCCAAGTAAATCAAATTTCTGTGAAATCAAACTGTCCACAAAGAAAGCAACACTGATTGACAATCAATATCACTTGCTGTTTCGCAAATGGAATAGACAACAGGTGGAAATTATGTTCATATTTATTTCATTCATTCAGATCTAGGATGTGTTGAGTGTTCCCTTTATTTTTTAACAGTATATATATATATATATATATATATATATATATTATATATATATATATATATATATATATATATATATATATATATATATATAAATTTTAAAGCAGGCTGCCCTTTCTATGGCCTCAATGCTGAGGCTAATCCAAACACTGATGAAACTCAACATGGAAAGTTCTCTGCAGTGCAGAGGATTAGGGATGACTCAGAAAAAGAAGGCATTTCTTCAGGGAGACACAGCGATTCGTTTTAACTAGCACAGCCATTGTAAAGAAACCAGGTGATTAAGATGGAACTAACAGGATTAGACTGATGCCTTTATGCTGAGGAAAAGGGGTAACAAAACAGACAAACTCAATCGCGTTAAGGCACACAATCAAAACCGTACAACAATAGGATGAAAGCATAAGAATGCATAATGTAGCATGCATATTTTTGCATGTAAGGAAGCATTGTAATTCACAAAACATACCTATAAAGGATGTTTTGCTAAAATAAATGTATCCAAATTGGGATCATGTCACATTGAAGCTCATCACAACAGAAGACCTGCAAGAATAAGACCTGCAAGCTTCAACCAGAATCAGTATCTTTGCACCACAAATTTGGAACAAACTTCCAGAAAACTGTGAAACAGCTGAAATACTGACTTCCTTTAAATCTCGACTAAAAACCCACCTGTTTAGAATTGTATTTGAAACATAATCAATTATAAATTAAATGATGGAACTTGACATACTGTCATTTTTTTGATTGTTAATTCTATGTTGCATGACTTTGTGTTTTTGTGTTCGTTGTGATGTGAAGCACTTCGAAATGCCTTGCTGCTGAAATGTGCTATAGAAATAAAATTTGATTTGTTTCTTAGCCAGTGTGTATGTTTCTCTCTCACAGCCGCATTTCTCCTGATGTTGTTTCTGGAGCATGAAATAAACCTGTGCATTAAAAACAAACCGAGAGCTTCGTATTCTGCTCCTTTTAAATTCTTGCTAACATTGTAGCAGCCTTCCCAATCATTTTCTAAGTCAGTGCAAGGACATCGCTAGTCTGTGAAATCTCCAGTCTAATAGAGGCTGATCTTACGAGTTTCAGAAGGCCAGAGGTCAGAAATGCTGCATCATGAGAAACAGAACTGGGACTGTGCATTACCCTCATCTGTTCTGCATGCGGCGGTTCAGACACACCTTATGGAAATATGACACGTTTCCATAACAAACTACAGTCACAAAAAATGTTCACTCAGTGAAGCTGCAAATGACGTTCAGAACGGGTTCAGAACTTTTTTGTGTTTTTCTTCCTCCCCCTCCTCTTTCTCTACTTGGAGGATTTTATAAGCAAGAGTATTTTTCCCCGATTACAGATGATGACTTAGTTCAATGACTGATTTGATTTATCATATGTATTGTATTTGTGTGATATTTTGTATTTTTCCACCTTAATTTAGACAAAAATACTTTACAAATGTTTATTTTTGTCTAGTATTTCAAGGCTTCAGATGCTCTTGGAAGAAATGTAATGGTACAATGATCCATCAGTGCTGAATAGTTTCCTCTACTGCAATGTTCGGAATTTCTGATGTTTGATTAGCATGAAAAAATATAAGCTTAAAGATTTTTTCACCTATGATCCTTGCTTAATGGACTACCATTGCCCTTGCTGTAATTAACTGCAGGGCATGCAGCCCATGCTGTTACAGCTGAACTAAGACTTTCAATAGGTAAGGTGTCATATTTGTAATTCTTGTTTTACTAAATGGCGAACCAGAGTTTGTTATATATTAAAGCAGTTTTAAGTCTTTAATTAACCTCTATATACAGCTGTTTTTGAAGGGATTCCTGCATTGCTACCCCAATGATGTTCCTGCATTGTCAAAGCAAGATGCCAAGCTCACTGTGCTGATATCTGACCCCTTTGAGTTATTTCTATAACAGAGGTCATCTACTTTATGAGTTTACCTGTAAAGTTAAAGTGTACCTGCTAGTTAAAGCCAGTTTCCTAGCTTGTAACAGGTAATGTCACATTTTTATGAAAGACTAATCTTGCAGTGATTTTTGCTTCATTTTCAAAAGTTGTTTGAGTAAAATAATTTTATATTATAAAACAATTTTATAATTTTATATTCAATAACATTTGTGAAAAACAAATTAAACCACTCTTCCTTGAGCAAACTTTAAAAAATGTATTGTTTTCATTTTCTGCCAAGAGGATCAAGGTCTGCAAAGGAACACAGAGATACAGAGGCGTCATCATGTATTAAGGTTTTTCATAAACTTAAAAGTACTCAGACAAGTTCGTCAACCTTCTCACAACAAATACAGAGAACAAAAAACAAACGTTCATAGATAAGGACAAAAAAATCCAATGTTTTCTTAATAAAATAAAGTTTTTTAGCAAAAGGAGAGTCTGTCTTACCTTGACGTTCGGCTTCCTTGTTGAGAATCCTCTGTACCATCCTTGAAAAAAAGAAAATAATTAGTGTCAATAGCAGGTAAAAACACAGAATCAAAATGGTTGTGTCAACAGGTTTACAGTTTTATTAAATCAACTTTGAAAAAGTTACTTGAGTTTATTTCTGAAGAAAAAATGATGATGATGAAGGTAAAAGAAAATAAATAAGGTTACCACCAATGTAAAGCAAACACAAATTAGGGCAGACATTATTTAAAAAATACCAATAACCAAATTCACCAAAATGTGAAACAATTCCATTACTTTTCCATAATAAGATAATTCTGTTAGTTTTTATTTTATCACTAAATTATATCTAGGTATAAGAAAATGGTAAAAAAAAAAAAAAAAAAAAAAAACGATCAGGCTTATATGTGCATAAAATGACTGAAGTAAACTGCAAAATTATCCTTGTTTTTCTCAAAGACTCAGTCCATATTCACAATTCACCTGTAAGCACATTTTTTGCTAAAAATAACATGTTTGGTATTTAAAATCATTATTTTCTTATGCCAAGACATTAAGTGTTAAGAGTTAACTGAAATGTATAAAGCAAGAAATATAATATATTACAAAAATAAAGACATATATCTCAAATAAATAAATTTGAATATTATTTTCTTTCAAAGAACCCCTTTAGGCACTGACATCATATCAAAATGAGTAATGTATGTCAAATATTTTTTTCTGTAGGCAAAATGCATGATTAGCATTGATTTAGTATCCTGCGGTCTAAAAGAGGAACCATCAGCTTTACAAGATATGATGAAATAAAAAGTTGTAGAAAGAAAACTTGAGTCACTGACCTGAGGTGTTTGAGTGTCTATGTGTGCATGTTTGAAAAGATTGGAGTGAAAAGTTGATGGCCTAGTTGATGTTAGTTTACACTGGACGCTATGAGCTCATGAACATGGATGACAAACTCTGATGGAGACACTGATGGACATGAAGCCCTGGAGCTGGAGACAGATTCAGTCCATTGCTCTTGTGTGGGTGGTGATATGCATATGTTATTAGATTCTCTATCTTTATGGGGACCAGTATGTAAAAATGAATGGACATTTCATTTTTACATAATGAATGTTATTTACATGTTATGCATGTCAAGCATGCATAACAAAATTGTAAACGTTATTTCTTTAGTATTTTACAAGACAGATTCTTAATTAATGCCACTTACTTAATATTTTCTCCAAAATATATGTATTTTATAAAAGCATATACAGTGACTTGCACTTTGCAAATAATCTGAAATGTGCATCATGCATTTCATTGCAAGACCTCCTTTGTGTGGTCGATATTAAATTAGCTCTCATATAACCAGTTTCCTTCAGAAGTTAAGAACTTAAGATGTTTGAGGATGATTTTCATTCATCCCGACTGTTTCAAGACGTAAAAAACTGGAGAGATGTGATCCAAAAGATTTGCAGATGTATTGAAGCAATAGATGAGCTTTTTCTGCATTAGAGTTTGATTGGTCCCAAAATATGTAGCTCAGGCTATACATCTATAGGTGAAGCTCACACTCAGGTGTAGAAATGGGAAGAACAATAAATAATGTTTGATTCTTCAGAATTATGTACAACTTGGTGTTGGTCTATCACATAAAATTTCTGTTTTATGGGAATAATGTGACAAAATGTGGAAAACCACATAGAAAAATACTTTTGCAAGGCTTTGTACCATTTACTAGGTTAAACCACAGTAGGAATTTTCAAGAGACTTGGGAAACTAAAACTGGATACTTTGGTAAATGAGGAGAATTTACATGAAATTTATAAATATTTATGATAGCCTTCCATCATAAATATTTACTGAGTGAAAAATGTGCATCACTTTTGGGTTTTTCCTCTTTAAATCCTGCAGTTAGACAGAAAGAAAACAGTACTCGTTAACAGAAAACTACTACCATGAGACACCTTAAGTTATATTTCTCAGTTATGAGTCACTCCGCCTTCAGACACTAAAATGTTGAGTCGGAATCTTTCACAGCTCAACTTAGCTGTTGGCAGGCTACAGTAAGAATCACATTAGTGACAGGCAAAACTGGGTCGGTTTCAAGTTCTCGTCGCTGATGGACCTCCTTCTCCAGCATGTCTGAGAGTACACCAGTCTTTCCACATGGAGGAACATCCATCAGATGCCTCAGCAGAGTACGAAGCTGTCATCAAAGTGGACTCAAGTTGAAATAAAACCTTGACAGCTGAAAATTACTCATATCCTGGGAGTTAGTATTTCAAGGAAGAACCCACAGACAGAAATCCTCTCAGGCAGAAGAGGCATCATTTGTCTCCATTCAAGTGGAAATGAAAATGATTGTGTCTGCGGCTATTGAAAATTTTGAAGGTGAGTGATTACTCTTTGTCACAGTAAGGAGAAAGAGACAATTATTTATCTCAGAATTATGCATTTTACATCATGGAGCTTATTAGAATAAGCTCAAATTATGTACTTTAAAAAGTGAAACAAGAAGGCAAAATTCAAAACTTAGAAATATTTGTAACTTGTCAAATAACTAGATGGGACTGTGACAAGATGTCATTTTTGGATTTTGTAGGACGTGTTTTAGGAAGAGATTAACATCTACGGACATTTTTATGTCCAGTTATAAAATAGTAGCTCTTGAAAATGATTCAGTGACGCCATAAATCTGAGTATTTGACAGGATACTTCACATTAACTTTCATCTTATCGTCTCTCAAAATTATGAGCTAAATTTCTCCATGGCTCTTCATAATCTGATTTGAATATGGAGATGAAAGTTTAATTGGATGGCTAATTAATAACCAATCAAGACGCATTTATCACCAGCGCTAAGATGTCTGTGTTACTCCCAGGCCTCTCATCTATATGATAATCAGAGAGAGTAGTTGAAGCTGCAGTGTCAGGGTCTATTTCTAATGGTTTTAATGGCTAAAAACAAAATCTCTGCCAGGCGCTATTATGTTATCAGAGTATCATAAATCTTTTGAAGTAGAGGTCATGGAGCAGGTGTTTGTGTGGTGAATCCATGCATACAAGTATGAAACACACTCTTACTCTGATGAAGAATAATCATTTTTTCTCCTGTAACCCGACGGATCGCCCTGTAGTTATTAGAATAACCATTTTGAACTATTATGAACATAATCCACAATAATAATCATGATAAATCTTTTTCAAAGGGGGGCAGCTCTCAGAGGGCCTCTTCTGTGGTATTAACAAAAAAAACTTAGTTCATAATGGGGGATGCATTACACAACTGATTTCCATCAGGCAATCAAATCAGGCAAATATGAGTCTTAAATGACGTTTCATATTGCTGTAGAGATCACCTCGAGCTAGGTTATGAGAAAAGGAATTACTTGTTTAACCAATAATAAGACCCAAGGGGAGCATTTTCTCTGTAACGTCAGTTATGACCATGATTTAATACAGATGTAAGCTGCAGCTGAGGCCCCAGACTCACCATCCACAAACGAGAAAATACAATCACTGCATGTATTCAGTTATTAGTGGCCAAAGACAAAACTTTTCTATTTGCTTAATATATGCTAAAACAAAATTAATAAACAGTACAAGCTTCTTCAAATCATTAATTATATTAATGAAATTATATCCCAAGAAAAATTGTGGTGCTTTATGACAACCACTTTGTGAATTTTCAGAAAATATGCATTTGCAATATTGTTGTTCATAATGGCTAGCCTAACTGTTTCTCACTTTCCTCTTCCTCTGGAGTCATCACGGTGTACATCACTCTAAGATTGAACATCTCTGTCACCATAATTTAAATGATGTGTTGACATCAGTGGCATTGGGAATCCGTCCAACTGGAATTATTATGATGGTGAAGTAAAGTGCATCAAATGGGAAATGTAAACTACAGATTGGAGGACTAGATATAGGGCTTCAAATTTAGTAATGTTGTCGTGAAGACCACCTAACCCAAGACCAAGTCAAGACCAAGACCAGATTGTATCGAGACCCGAGACAATACCAAGGCTTTTAGGGTTTGAGATCAAGTTGAGACCAAGACTGAGGGAGTCAAGAACAAGACTGGCACCCTGCACTGCATGACACAATAAAATGATCAAAACTGCATCTTAAATTGATCCGAAAGATTCATATTCCCATAAAAACATGTAAATATTAAATACTTAGAGTTGAAATTAATTTAATCAGTATCATTATCAAGTCAAGCTTTTTGTTCTGCTTTGCTTCCATCTCTGTGCCACAATCCACAAAGGTCTCATGACATCCCTAAAAAGATAACGCCCTGGGCAGTTGCCCATAGTGCCCATGTCAGAAACCACCACTGTCTGCACTAGTGATGGGTCATCTGAATCCGAGTAAAAGGGGGGGCGTGTCAGATGAAGCCTCGCTTTGATGCTTGTGTTGTCTTTATGAAAACTACGTGACTGGCACCAAACATGCCTCGCATTGCATTGGTCACAGGACTGCTTCACTTTGCGTGTCAGTTTTCAAAATAAAAGTGTGATGAGTCGTGTTGCTATGTGATTTGGCATCAGAGGAGTATTTGTCTTCAGCAGTGGCTGAAATAAAGGAACCTTTTATACAATAGTTCATGTATATTAACAATTTTGATGATGGCACTCATCAAAATGTAATGTTTGTTACCAGTTTTCTCAATAGTTGATTGTGGTATATTTTATGACTTTATATTTGTGTGTTTTTTATTATGTAAAACCCTTTGAAACTGCATTGTTGCTGAAATGTGCTTCACAAATAAACTTGATTTAAATGGAGCAAGCAAGAAGAAAAACTCTGACATCTGGAAAGACTTCGGGATGATCGCTCACAAGATTCTTAAATAAAAAGAATGAACTCCTTCTCCAAAATTCTCACCTTGTTGAAATTTCTACTATTTCTTTGTTCTGCAAAGATATATCAGTCTTGCACAGTGAAAACAGGCTTAAAGTTGTTGGAAGTGTAAAATTCTGGTTTGATGAGTAACAATGCAAGGGATCAGAGATGTCTATCTGAGTGACAAGACTACCACAGT